TCAACTCAATTGGTAATGTTGCATTTCACAAGTATTGATTGTATTCTTTGTATGCCTTTTTGTCTTAAATCCTTCATAATGAATTTAAAATATGAATGAATGAGCATGAATGTAATGGGCTATCAGAGCCTATTAATAATTCAAGGTTTATATCCAAGCAGTCTTATTCTAAATCCAAGTCCATCAAGCAGCTTCAGCTTCACATGAACTTGCTCACTGAGACAATGGGTTGTTAGGTCAATCTTTGTATCTGGTATGCTTAACATTATATCTATCCCTCAATGTCACTGGTGTCTGGGTATATTCTCCTTGTGTTCTTAGCCACACTAGGGCATCTTTCTAGAAATTAATCAATACTGGGGAACTAAACTTATTGAAGACCAAGGCTGAAAGCCTGACCCTGAGGCTTGGAACATCCATGCCATGTGAGAACTCTTGGGAAAAATCCAACTAGCCTTCCCAAGCTGAAATCCTGCTTTCTGTGCCTGACTTCAGACTTACATAGCCTTAAAAATGTTATTTAAATATTTCAATCCCATGTTGCTGTTTTACTTTCCAAAAATTTGTGTCTTGTGTCCCTGACCATAATGTGAGCTCTTGAAGACAAACTCTTCCTACCTCAAAAGGGCCCACCATAGAAGACAGCTGCGCCGTTCACCTCATAGGAACCATACCTCCTGGTGTTCAAACCCCTATGGAGTCCCCACCCACAGCGACTCTGGCCTAGCGTGTGACTCTTTTTGGCCAATAGGATGTTAACTGACATGAGGCAAGTTGAGGCTTGATGAACACTTGAGTTCTTGGAGCTCAGCTGCCATGGGAAGAAGTTCTGGCTAGACTACTGAGTGACGACAGAGAGGAGCCCGACTCCTTCCACGGTCCTGGCCGAGACCCCAGATGTACAGGTACAGCCATCTTAGACTCTCCAGCCAACCCACAGGCCGCATGAGTGAGATGTTACCTTGCTCCCTAAAGAATGCCTCATCTTTTTCTAGGTGCTGTCATGTTAGGATGTGAAGGTAGAATTGCTGTAGCCATCTTTTGACTGTGAGTGGAGCTTCTAAAGAACAAAACCAGCACACTGATGAAGGGAAAATGGAGAGAAAGAACGAACCTGGGCCCTTGATACTGTGGAGTTGCTGAATTAACTAACTGTGGAGTTAGCTGACTTCTAAACTTTTTATTATATAAAATAGCATATTTCCTCATGGGTTTTTGTTACTTGAAGCTGAAGGCATTTTAACTAATACATTCCTCAACCGGTTCTACTGGTACAAGTACAAAATGCCTGAAATGCCCTGCATAATGTATAATAGACATTGAATAAGTTTGTTGTTGCTGAGTAAATAAAAGAAAACGTTGTGGTGGAGACTGCCACTTGCTTACCCAACAACCATTCTCCCTCTTCTCCTTAATTACAGAACTCTGAATTTTAGCCAGGCATATCACTGTTTAGAACAAAAGACTACTTCCGCTACCTTCTTTGTACAGAAATACGGTCGTGTGGCTGAGTTCAGGCCAGGGAGCTGTGAGCAGAAGGGCTGTGTGAGAGGGCTGATTGGCAGGAGCTGACTCAGCTGGAAGGGCCTGTTTTCCTCCTTCTGCCTTTCATCTTGCTTCCCAATGTGGTTTTTCTGGCTATAGTTCTAGACACCATCCGAGGTCATGAGCTGACCTTGAGGATGGAAGCCAAGAGCTGGACGGGGCAAGCAGAAAGAGAAGCCTGGGGTCCTGATTGCTACCTCCCGACTCCCATTCTCCCTCATCTCACAACTGAATTCTTGTAACTGTTTCTTAAAATGTCTTCTTGATGTCAGTGTGAATTTCTTTACCCATTTTTTAGAACATATATTTTATTAATTATGCTATTAGTTGTTCTGTATCCATTTTACTGTGCCTCTACCAGATTACTCCTCTAGCTTCTCCATGCTAACAGCCTTCAATCAAAGCATGTCAGAAACCTTTACTTATTTTTCCACTCTAAGCTCTCCCATTACTCTGCCTGACTTGGAGTCTCCACCAAAAGCAAATGAAGATCTCTGACTCTCTTGCTGTAGCAAACTGAATAAATAGCCTCTGTCTTCATTTGGTGGTCTTTGTTTATTTCCACAGGATGAATAATCTGTGGAGGAAAAAGACACGCTTTTTCTTTTCTTTCTTTTAAAGATTTTATTTATTTATTTTTTTAGAGAGGGGGGAGAGAGAAAGAGAGGGAGAGAAATATCAATGTGTGGTTGCTTCTCAGGCACCCACTCCTGGGGACCTGGTCCGCACCCCAGGCACGTGCCCTGACTAGGAATCGAACCAGTGACACTTTGCTTCATAGTCTGGTGCTCAGTCCACCGAGCCATGCCAGCCAGGGCAAGACATGCTTTTTCTAATGCATTTTCTAACTTGGTGGGATGTAAGCCTAGAGCCACAAGCAGCCTCTTGTTGACTGTGTAAGGAAAGCCTAAGAACAGTAGCAGCAAGGAGGTAAGCAGAGCAGGACGTGGAGACAGGGAGAACAAGACCTGATGATGCTGTGCAGGATCTCGGCTCCAGCTGTGGCTTAAGTCAGCTCTACTTCTGGACTTTGCCGTTTCATGACCCAATGAATTCCTGTCTTGCATTTGCTACTTTGAGTTTCTGTGGCTTGCAACCAAGAGTCATGGGCTCTTCTCACTCTCTTAGAATAAGTGGCCAGAGCCATTTCTATAGTCTGGTGGAGCAGGAGGACTGGAAAACCCTGATGCGTTGGTCATTGATAACAAATTGAACCCTGGCCTAGAAAAGGTCAATGGGCACTGCACAATCTGCTGTGCTGTCCCCAAGTTAGGCCCCAAGATCACAGCTTCTTAGTTCACATTCATATGCTCAGCTACTGCTCTCTAAAGTGGGGGATATTCGAATGGCTGGACCCAGTAGGTTTCTGTCCATAGCCACATGCCGAACACAACCCTCCTCACAGAACCGTAGACCCTTGTGTTGAGCCCTGGTTTACAACCCCACTGCCCACCTCTGTGTAAATTCTCCTCCTGGTCAGGGGGTACTCAGCTTAATCCAGAAGGATTTTTTGAATTACACATCTTGAGAGTTTTATTTCCTTCCCTACCAAAAGGACCTGGGCTCCTATACAAATTGGTCTGTTCCCTCTTCCGGGCTTGACATACAAGGGTATCTCTAGGAAATGCTCAGTTTTTCTCAAATAACAAAACTTTCCCTTCTCTAGGACAAGAAGTATGCATTTATTTATTTAAAAGATTTTATTTATTTATTTTTAGAGAGGGCAAAGGAGGCAGAGAGAGAGGGAGAGAAACATCAATGTGTGGTTGCATTTCGTGCATTCCCTGCTGGGGACCTGGCCTGCAACCCAGGCATGTGCTCTACGCTGGGAATTGAACCAGAGACCCTTTGGTTCACAGGCCAGTGCTCAACCCACTGAGTCACACCAGCGAGGGCAAAAAAGTATGCATTTATATTTGTAGTCTAAAAGAAGCCATCTCTTTCTTTCTTTCTCTCTCTTCCTCCCTCCTTCCTTCCTTCCTTTGGAGGCTTTGGTTGTGTTTGCTCTGTAAGTCTGTTCTCTTCAGGGATTGATTTACCTGAGGGCAACAAATGTTCTATCTCTATAAAAGAAGCCATCTCTTTCTTTCCCTTTTCTATTTCTTAAAGAGTTTATTTGTTTATGAGGGGAAGGGGAAGAGAAAGAGAGGGAGAGAAACATCAATGTGTGAGAGAAACACAAATTGGTTGCCTCTTGTATGTACCTCAACCTAGGACCTGGCCTGCAACCCAGGCCTGCGCTCTCACCTGGAATTGAACCACTGATTTTTGGGAGGTGATGGCCAACCAAGTGAGCCACACCAGTCAGGTCAAGAAGCCATTTCTTAAATGGTCCAGAAGAATACAGAAAATCTGCTCTTAGATGACTTTATATATTCAGAGAAGCAATTCTGTGGTTTAAGATATGTGGAAAAAAAAAAAAAAAAAAAAAAAAAAAAGAAAGCAGCTCTTATTTCCCAGAATCCCACCCTATGAACAATTTTGCCTGTCTAGTTAAGTCTCTTTTTTATTTCCAAATCCCAGCTTCTAAATTCTGCACATGCTGTCCTGAATCTTACCCTTTCCACTCCCGTTTTGGAACCCTATAATCCAAATCACACTGCTGACTATATAATCATCTGCTTTCTCATTCTTTCATAAATATTAGTCTTTTAACTAGTGTATAAATACATTGATGGAAGAAACTATACTTTTCCTGTATATTCTTTAGCACTTAGCATTCAGTATATAATTGGTGAGTCATGACTTAATGGATAATCAAATACCTTTTGTAACAAATGGTACTTTTCAATACTTGAATTTATATAAAAGTTGTTGCAACATAAGAGATTGAATCTTTTTGAAGTTTATATTCTTTTATATATTTCTAAATTAGTATCCAGAAACTTTATACTTAAATTAACTTTAAGATTTAAAAAGGTTTTGAATTCTCTACACAAAACTTGAAAGAGTCAGGCTAACTTTATCACCCCGATTGTAAATCTCCTTATTTCTTTCCTCTTTACTTTCCAATAAAATATGTATATATCAAAAGTACATTTTTTAAAAGTCATTTCAACTTGTCAAAGTCAAATGATTTAAAATTTAGCTTACTGTTTGTTTTCTATTGCTATAAAGGTGAATGTACAGTTTGACAGTGTAAGTTTTTAAAAAAAGCTTTTTTTGCATGTCTTGGAAACTTTCCTTTCTTAACGGTCTCCCTCGTTTGTAAATCCATCCTCTGTAAGTGTTCGAGGGGAAACCTACAAGGAAGCGCGGAATATCTCTGAACTCTGGGACTCCCGCTCTGCCCAGTGGCTCACTTTAAAAAGCTAACGCGAGAGTGGGCGGGGCGAGGTGCCCCGCCGCGCCTGCGCGTCTCCTAGTAGCCGACGTCACGGCGCCAGCGACGGCTCCGTTGGGCGGCGGCACGTACGGCACGTACGCGCCGGTCTGCGAAGCCGTTGATTCTCCCAGGCAGTGGTAGCTCTTGCTTCTGCTGTTGTTCCCGCTGTTGTTCCTGTCGTCGTTGCTGCTGCCTCTGTCGCCATGGCTCAGTACAAGGGCGCCGCGAGCGAGGCCGGCCGCGCCATGCACCTGATGAAGAAGCGGGAGAAGCAGCGCGAGCAAATGGAGCAGATGAAGCAGCGCATCGCCGAGGAGAACATCGTGAAGTCCAACATCGACAAGAAGTTCTCAGCGCACTACGATGCCGTGGAGGCGGAGCTCAAGTCCAGCACCGTGGGACTCGTGACCCTGAACGACATGAAGGCCAAGCAGGAGGCCCTGGTGAAGGAGCGGGAGAAGCAGCTGGCCAAGAAGGAGCAGTCGAAGGAGTTGCAGCTGCAGCTGGAGAGGCTGCGCGAGAAGGAGCGCAAGAAGGAGGCTAAGCGGAAGATCTCTTGCCTGTCTTTCGCCATGGACGGAGAGGAGGAGGAGGTGGGCGAGGGGCCGGAGGAGGTGGCCCTGCCCGAGGAGGAGTTGGAAAGGGACGAGAGCACCACGAAGAAGAGGAAATTGGGGAAGAACCCAGATGTGGATACAAGCTTTTTGCCGGACCGCGACCGCGAGGAGGAGGAGAATCGGCTGCGGGAAGAGCTGCGGCAGGAGTGGGAAGCCAAGCAGGAGAAGATCAAGAGCGAGGAGATTGAAATCACCTTCAGCTACTGGGATGGCTCCGGGCACCGGCGGACCGTCAAGATGAAAAAAGGCAACACCATGCAGCAGTTCCTGCAGAAGGCGCTTGAGATCCTGCGCAAAGACTTCAGTGAGCTCAGGTCGGCAGGGGTGGAGCAGCTCATGTACATCAAGGAGGACCTGATAATACCCCACCACCACAGCTTCTACGATTTCATCGTCACCAAGGCACGAGGGAAGAGTGGGCCACTCTTTAATTTCGACGTTCATGATGATGTGCGGCTGCTCAGTGACGCCACTGTGGAGAAGGACGAGTCACATGCGGGCAAGGTGGTGCTAAGGAGCTGGTACGAGAAAAACAAGCACATTTTCCCCGCCAGCCGCTGGGAACCCTATGACCCCGAGAAGAAGTGGGACAAGTACACGATCCGGTGAACGCAGAGGTGGAGCAGGCTCGCTTCCCCAGGTCCCTTCAGACTCCCCAGTTCCCGGGTCTCCAGGACTCCAGGTGCCCGGCCTCCCCAGTCCTGTGACATGACTGATCATCCCCTGCCCTCGATGCTGTCATATACTGCTTTTTTCTTTCATGATAAAGAAGTGCACATATTAGAGTCAGAGTACTGTGCTTTATTTGAAAAAAAATTTCTGATAAAATTCACATAACAAAGCTCACCATTTTGGCCATTTGCAAGTGTACGATTCAGGGGTATTTAGTACATTTACAATGTTGTGCAACCATCACGTCAATCTAGTTTCAGAATATTTCTAACATCCCAAAAGAACTGGTGCCCATTAGCAGTCTCTCCCCCAGCCCCTGGCACTCCCTAGTCTATTTTCTGTTTATGGATTTGCCTATTCTGGAAGTTTCACATAAATGGAATCATTCAATTAAAAAACCCCTGAAAAACATAAAGTGAGAGAAGCAGGTATCACTCTCCCAAGTAGTCCTCAATAGGTTTATTCATTCATATACATTTATCTTCCTGAATTGACATGCAATGTGAAGTTATAAATCAGGAACTTTTAAGATAAATACAGATTTAAATATCTTGCTGACTTTCCTTTAATAACATGTGAAAAACTCTTCAAGATCTGATATGTGAGACTGCTTTTTCTATTTCTTCATATAATAAGCACTAAGAAGCAATTTGCACCAATTCACCACCTACTCCTTGGCATCCCCAATTCCTCCAGCAGTTATTGCGAAGGTGGCTTCGTTTTCAGGCATGTCAGGGCTAACAGAATGCAAGGGAACAGAAGTTTATAAAAAGCTCTATTTCTATAAATACTATATTCATGTTACAGACATCATACTCCTATCTTTGTGAGTCTCCAGAGACATCTCAGAGTTGGTACAGCTAAATGTGGGCTACAAAATTTACCTACAAGTATTATCAGCCCTCACAAACATTTACTGAACAAGTTCTATATGTAAAGTTCTGAATGTCAGGAAAAATAACCCCAAACTTGGAAATAGGTGAAAGGGATAACTGAACGTGCTTTTAGTGTGCTATCAGGCATTGTGCAGCAGACCCTTAGGGGCTTACCCGATTATAAAGGGATGTGCACATTTTATTGACTAGATCAAAGTAGGGGAAAACTGTGAAAGACTGAAATGAACTAAAAGATTACTGAGTACCTCAGTGGAAAAACAGGTTGACTAGCACATCTTTTCAGGTTATCCAATTCTATTAGAACTCTGCTTTTCATTGTCTTTGAGCTATTTTACAATTCTGTAAGTTGTAGAAAATGATGAGTAACACAAATTTGTGTCCATAGAAATATAAATTGTGAGGAGGCATGTAATTGATTATTCTATGGATACTGTGACCTGTTTTTGATCAATTTATAATTCAGCATTTATCTGACTTCATATATGGGGTAATTTGATTTTTTCTTTTGATCTGGTTATTAAATCTTGTTGGTTACTGCACTAATGAGTTGAATAAACTGGTATTTTATATTTGTACATCAGTCGTGCTTATATGCTCTTTAAAATTTTACCTTTTAATTTATTCTAAGACTTTGTAGGATAGAGTTAATTTGTAGAAAACTAATAGCAATGCAGATGATTCTTGTCTTCTCCAGTCTATAGCAATGGACATGAAATGAATTTCATTGTGTAGAAAAGCAACTGATTTCCCCCTACTAGAAAAGACAACTTCAAATGTTACAATTTATTGCCTGATATTAACCAATTTTGCATTTACTAGCAAATTGATTTCAGCATTCCTTTGACTACATAACTCTTTTTCTCAAAATACCCTTTGAATCATTGGTTTCCTCATTAATTAGGGAGTTGAATAAAATCTTTGACACATTCATTTTACATTTATTTGAAAGAAAGTTGTGTTTTTAACTTTTTGGAAATCAAACATTAGCATGTACTAGACCCTATAGATTTTACAAAAATGACAGAATCCTTACTTTCAAGAAGTCAAACAGGTGAGCTATGACATATGGTATACATGCAAAGTAAGCTGTTTCATAAAGTCGGTATATATGTTATAGAACTCTAAAGAAAGGAGATGGGGGAGGATTGAATGCGAGAGACGAGGGGTGGGCAGGGCAGGGAAGAGTAATGGGGGAAAAGTGGGGACAACTGTAATTGAATGACAACAATTAAAAAAAGACATTATGCCCTGTAGGTTGATGAGGAAAGGCTTCAGAGGTAACATTTGAAGGGCCTTTGAGGCAGAAATGGGAGTAATCCAGGTAGAGGTAATAACAAAAAAAAAAAAAATGGGAATAGAAAGTTTGTGTATAAGAAAGGAAGAATAAGAGGCTACGTTTACATACATTGCATTTGAGGTACTTTTGGGACATTTATGTGTAAGAGTTCTGCAAGCAGTTGGAAATGAATAAAACTTTAGTAAATGGTTAAACTAGAAATAGAAATCTGAAAATCACTCATCAGGAAAGAGACTACTGCTACTTTGTGCTGTGATTATACCCAGGTAATGGTGACTGTATAGTATTATTACTATTCTCCTTTATTAAGTAGTTACTATTTACTATGTGACAGGATCCCTTATTTTATTTCATTTAAACTTTATGATAACACTGCTGGGTATGTAAAATTCACATTTTACAGATGAGAAGACTGAGGTTCAGAGAGAAGTAATTTGCCCAAGGTCACATTGCTAATAAGTGAAAATGCCAGGATTAGAGACTATAGTAATGACTCCAGAAGCTTTTGATTCTAAAGCTCACATTCTTAACTACTGTTTCGAAAGGCATGTTTCTTGCCTTTCGAAGTAGGGTGTTTTTAAAAAATTTTGTTTGTTTTATTGGGAGGGTGCGGATTAGGCAGTAAACTTTGAGCTTGCTATGGATAAGGTTACTTCCCTTAGGAAATAGCAGAGAGGTCTCCCCTGAGGATAGCAAATAGGCTGTAGATAAAATGGGTCTTGCTAGACTAAAACTGTAGTTGAGTAGGAAACCCTGAATGGAAGTAGAAAATAATCCTTTAGCCTTGGTGGAAAATACTCAGTTGGCCTCTTACAAGTGATAGGAAGAAAAGTAGTTGAGAAAGAGGGGAGCCAAGCAAGGTATCTGCAAAGTTGAACCAGGCTTTCTGTTTGTTTTGTTTAGAAACAATAAAAAATAATTACTTCAGACACCTGACCATTTCTACATCTTTTCATTATTTTGCAATTATTTAAAATATGTTCTTCCTCTGAATTCAGTAGTGTTCTTTGTTTTTAATGTCTACTAATCTCAGATATGCTAAGTAGAATAAAATAAATGGGATTTTTATTCACTTAAAGTTTTAAAAAGCGAAAAATATATACTTGAGGGCCAGCTATAGCTACGTACAGGAGCAGTTACTATGGTGACATTCCAGGAGATGTCCTCAGTCCCTTTTGGTAGTCATTCCTGTATACTTGGGAATTCTTCTGAGAACACTTTCCTACTCAATTCTTGGGGAATTCTTAGTTTTATTTTAACAAGAAATGTTTTTCTCTTACATGTATATAAGGTAGTAGTTGAAGCCATGGGGGGTAACTAGAGTAGACTAGATATGACTACCCTAAATGGATCATCCCTCATAAACTAAGAAATAGTGTAATGATTAAAAGTGCAGACCCTAGATCCAGACAGAATAGATTCTAATCCTCATTCCATCCTTTATTTGCTGTATGGTTTGGGGCAAGTCCATTCATTAACTCATTAAGAAAATCTTTACTGAGCACCTGCTATATCCTTGTACACACTTGAGATCTGTAAGTGAAAAAAATAGACACATTTCCCTGCCCTTGTGGAACTTATATTTGGAGGTGAGAGACAGACAATAAATAATGGACATAATAAATATATTATGCAATATGTTAGAAAATGATGTGTAATGGGGAAAGAAAAAGTAGAGCTAGGTAAGGGAGATTGGAAGTATGGAAGTTGGGAGAAGGCAAGTTGCAATTTTAAATAGGGTGGTCAAGATGGGCATTGTTGAAAAGGTAACATTTGATCAAAGACTTGAAGAAAGTGAAGGAGATAACCAGAAAGAGGGCAATGTGGGGAAAGATTACTCCAGGCAGGGAGAACAATAAGCACAAATGTCCTAAGGGAGGAGTGTGCCTGATGTGTACAGAACATCAAGGTGCCCACTGAGGTTGGAGCACGATGAGTAAGAAGGAGAGCAGGAGGAACATGAACAGTGCCATTCATGCAGGGCCCTGAAAACCGCTGTAGATACTTAGGCTTTTATTCTGAGTGAAGATGAGAAGCCATTGGAGGATTTTAAACAGAGAATAGATATGATCTGACTTAGTTTTACAAAGGATTGCTCTCACTTCTATGTTTAAAATAGACTAGAAGAGCAATGGTTAAGTAACTGCTTGGGGCCTTGGTTCCCTTATGTGTAAGATGGGGATAATAGCCACTATCTCTTTGGGTTGTTGTTACAAACAATAAAATATAAAGCACTTGGTGTAGAGCCTAGCACATAGTAGCCACTTATTATTAGCAACGTGATTAGCTATCATTATTAGCAACATCATCACTTCCAAAAAGTTCTATGTCAAGGATTCTTCGTGAGAAATCTTTGGAGACCAGAAAAAAGAGAGTATGTGCTACACAGATTAGAAACTTAGAAAACTAAGTTTTGACATTTTAAGCTCTGATCTAGTTTTGCTGTTTTTATTCAAATTTATGAAGATTTGGCGTAACTAATCTCTATAATAGCTTTAATTATCCTTTATTGAGTCTGCAGAATGCTAGTATTCTCTTAGGAGTGTATGACGTGAATGAATTTGTTCCTGCACAGTTTGGAGGACTTAATGAAATATACAAATGATTGAACAGGAAGATCCATTCATTTGTTAATTTAACAAACAGCTACTGAGTTCCTATTATGTGCAAGTGCCTTGCTAGGGACATTAAAGAACCAAACTCAGCCTCTGTTGTTAGAGAGATGTACAGGTAATTAATTGATTACAATTTAGAGCGGAAATTGTTGGCAAAGTTCCAAGTGAAGCAATCTGTCCAAGATATAGATGAAGAAATTTTAGTGAAAACATGAAACAATTCTACTATTTAACAAAAAAAATATTTGTAGCAAATTTCTAGAGATTGCTGAAGCTCCATAAAACATAGCATTTGAATATTATAGTCTTCCACAGACAGGTAATGAAAAGCAAAATGGTCTGAATAAAAACCATATAGATGTGAAAACTGATTATTTAATATTTATTCAATGATAATATGTAATAAGTAGTGTGACTCATAGCAA